TAATAAATCAAGAGAGAAGTAGAGTCATTTTCTCATAGACTTCTATGATGCTAGATGACTGACCCATCCATACCTCTGAGGGCTTTTCTTTTGGCCACGACTTGACTTTGCCTCTGTTGCGCCGCGACTTCCACGCTCAATCTTCTCGTTTCGATCGTCACAAATATCTTTTGATCCGGGACAAAGTAGTCCCAATCATTTCCAGCCACGGTCTCAGTGATTTTCTCCAGCAGCTCCATGATTTGAGTGCCATCATCTGCATTCTTGTTGTCAATGACGTGATATCTGTTTCCACATTGTTGAACGAGAGACTGCAGCGCCTTTCCCTCCCCTTCGATGTACTCCTCCACGATGTGCGACCCCAGCCAGTCTCCTCTGGTGAAAACCACAATCGTGTGTCTCCACACTTCTTCTCCGAGAAGATCGACGTGTGACATCACTGCGTCTAAGTGTTTGAGGTTGAACGACGCGTCTACGTCGATCACCAGCAGGAAGACGTGAGGCCCAGGGAGGCACAGAAACGGGCTGCGCTTCACTTCCTCCCTCATCGCCTCAGGAGTGTCAACCACAGAGAAGCCTTTCCACCAACCCGGTGTGTCAACAACAGTTATTTCAGTTTCACCCACAAAACCCTGCTGGGCCACCGAGCGGGCCGTTCTTTGCCCATCTTCTTGCTCTTTGATTCCCAAGATGGAGTTCCCCACTGAGGTTTTCCCAACGCTCCGGCTTCCCAAGAGAACCAGGCGGAGTTTTGGGATGGGTTTCATCTTTTCTGTGAGATAAAACAAAGCTTGATTAGTCAATTAGTTCCCTTCTCAACTTCATCAGTTACTGTGTCTGTATAAAATCACATGGTCAAATTAATAAAAACAAAATCCACTTTTTCAGGTAAACAAATAATCTATTGATACATTAACAGCATTTTCAAAAATACTCTTATTCCTAATTTACTAAATGAACATCATGCTGTATTGAAGAAGACTTGAAACTAGAGATTGAGACCATAAACTCATGTTTACAATGTTTACTGAGGTAATAAATCAAGAGAGAAGTAGAGTCATTTTCTCATAGACTTCTATACAACCAGAGGAGTCGCCCCCTGGTGGACGTTAGAGAGAATGCAGGTTTTAAGACGCTTCCACATCGGCTTCACTTAGCATGAACCGGAGGTTGCCGCCTGGCAGTAACATAGAAATTTGAGGATGCGATACATTGAAGTGCACTCGAATCGTAATCGAATCGTGAGGCCAGTAAAGATTCACACCTTTAATATAAACAGCTCATTCTAACGGAAACGTGATTCTCATCGTCAGCTGATTATGCATTTCTGCTAATGCTACGCACTGGCCCTTTTAGTATGATACAGGACGTGTTTGAGTGCATCTGTTGAGACGTTCACCTTGAATACGTGTCTTCATTTGTCGTCTTTGCTCTTCGGACCTCCTCCTTCTCATCTCCGCCCTTTCGACCACTTCTCGCTGCTTCTCTTTGATGGTGTTTAACGTCTGCTGGTCTACCTGGTACCAACTGCCGTCGTTGTGCCGCATCATCTCGTCTATCTTCTGCAGCAGCTGCGTCACCTGATCTGAGTTTCTCTTCTCCTTGTTATTGAACACGTGGTACCTGCATGAAGGCAAATCACTGTGAATATCCGAGAGTGCAAATGAGATCCACGCGTGCGCGTGTGTAGAGGTCCCGCACGTGCTAATCAAACAGCCGCGCACGTATATTACTTTTGCGAGCGTTTTCACATCACTCCGCGCAGAATATCTCTGCTCACGCCAGCATAATTGCGGCCTGCGAGGAGAAAACCATGCTTTGAGCAAAGGGCGTCCCCTAGCGTGCGACTGCTGTCACTGCTTTTCTGCTCCCGTGTAGATTTTCTTTTTGACACTAAGTGGGCGGACCCTGTTACCATTGTATCGCTAGATTTAATTGGTTACAATCCTCGTCTATAGATTGGCTGGATATCACTCCGACACAAACTCTTGGTGGCGGTGTAGAGGTGTTTTTTTTCAATCCACTACTGAACACTAGAAGAAGTCGCGCGCTAGGGGACGCCCCTCACGCTCAAAGCATGGTTTTTCTCTTGCAGGCTTACATTTTGATCGCACTCGCAAAGATATTCTGCGCGGTGCGATGTGAAAACGCTCGCAAAAGTAATCTATGTGCGCGGCTGTTTGATTTGCACGTGCGGGACCTCTACACACGCGCACGCTTGGATCTCATTTGCGCTCTTGGATATTCACAGTGATTTGCCTTCAGAATTCGCCTTCATATACCTGTTCCTGCATCTCACTGTCAACCATTTGAGTGAGTCTCCCTCGCTCTCGATGTGCTGCTCTATTGTCTTCCCCCAGAGGAAGTCCCCGCAGGTGAAGAGCACCATGGTGTATCGCCAAACCCGCTCCCCGAGGAGCTTCATGTGCTCCTCCACGGTCCTCCTGTTGTCCACGGAGAAAGCCGAGTCTATGGGAACGACGAGGAGAAAGACATGTGGGCCGGGCGGACACTTGGACGCGTTGAGTTTAAATCGTCGCTTGTCCCCCTCTGGGATCTCGGTCAGGGAGAGGGAGCTGCTCCATCCTGGAGCGTCGACCACGGTGAGATGGCGGTCCTCCACCGCCCCGTGCCTCACCTCGGTCTGAGCCGTTCTGGTTCGGCCACACTCGAACCTTTCCTTTCTCAGTATGGTGTTGCCGGAGAAGCTTTTGCCAGCCCATCTCCCACCAATCAGGATGAGTCTGACCTCCGACAAGGTGGTGCTCTCTCTCTCTCCTGGAAGACAAATAGTAAATGAACTTGTATAGCGCTTTTTTAGTCTTTCCGACCACTCAAAGCGCTTTCACACTGCACGTCATCACTCCTCCATTTACCCCCATTCATCAATGATGGCAAGGGCTACTATGCTGCCCATCAGGACTAACTAACATTCACACACATTCACACACAGCTACAGGAGTAGGTTTGGGCTGAAGTCTCTTGCCCAGGACACATCGATATACGACTAGTGGAGCCGGGCATCGAACCACCAATCCTCTGATTGAGCCACAGTCGCCCCCAAACAAGAGAAAAAACTTTTTTGGGACCAGAAATAGTGACAGACAGTTTCACCAACATGTCATGTTTTTCAAAAACTTTGTGAAACAGCTTCCTTGGCTTGATGATAATGGATTTTGTTGCGATCAGTTGGCTTTTCATAAAAGGACTACAGCAGATCTCATACTGAGCAGCATAAGAAAAACCACCAAAACTAGGACGACGGCGTTATTACAGGAGCTGCATTAGCTGATGCCTGTGCTGCTTTGCCTGACTGACAGAAGAGGAACGCTCTGGTGAACTCCTGCTGGCTCCTCTGGGACTTTGTGTCATTTTTTGTGTTATTTCTGACTCTATAAATCCGTTTTCATTTGAGAGACGCAGTCTGAAGATTGTACATTGAGACAAAAACATTTTTAGAATGACCCTGAACCAAAACAAATCATTTTGAGGCAAAATGAAAAAGAAGCAACAAGGGGATAAAAAAGAATGACTCGTCACCTCCCTTTGTCACAAAAAAATAAAAATACAAGGAGTGACGAGAGAAAATCGAAAGACTTGTAGGACGCAGTGCAACACAAATACTTGTTCATGTTCAGAGGCTGTTATCTGAACTACATTATAATCAAATACATTTAAAATATTTATTTAGATATATGTAAATACTAGAACTAACTCATCTACACCACAAAGTACAGACTGGTAACTTATTATAGAGCTGAAACGCAGCATCATCAACAATTAAAAAAGGCTACATTTGAATAAATAGCCTTTGTGTATTGGATTGCACAACAACCTAGAGGTGTGTCTATTTGTCTTGTGACTCCGTATTTGCATTAAACTGTTGGGGTGGAGTTTTAAACTTCTAAAGGAAGAGGATTGTTTTGATATCCTGATGGGAATCAAAAGAGTTGTCCATTTTTACTGGCAATCAAGACCGGTCCAACTGGTTTTTGTTGGCACCAGTGTGCAGGTTGCTTTCTTTGATGCCGGTGTTGTTTCTGTAAAAGTGACTCACAGTTCGAGGAGGGAATCAGCCAGAAGGAATTGATACAGTGTGGAAACCATAACCCTGTTTTGTCCTTATAGTAAATAGGTTATAAAGTAGATGAATAAAAGGTTGTTTCCTCGGGACACCATGTGCTTTGAGATCTGAGCTGTAAATGAAAGAAAAACCAGGCTCCCTGAATGCATCCCTAAAGGAGCACAAACCCATGTCGTTAGAAATGTTTTGATCTTAAACGATTTCCACGATCGAGGTGAAGTAAGTATGTTTGACCTCAAAACAGATCTGCACGTTGTACTGATCAAAACATAATCAAAATAATATAAAGAAGAATAACTTTAGAAAAAATCTATTTCTACAACATATCGATTCCTTGTCTCTTATAAAGTACGTATATTATTGCATGTTGAAGCAGGTAAAACTATGCAACTACACATTTATCTTCAAAATGAACTCACCGAGGTTGTTTTCCATTTTTACCCGTCTTCTCTTTTCAAAGCCGAGTTAGAATCAACTGGACAGGACCGAGTGTTTGTCCTCAGCACCAAATATTTTAAGGAAACAGGAATTCAGGCATATTTTGCAGCCGCCGCCACAGCCGAGACTGAAGAAGTGACACAACAAAGCAAATGGCAGAGAGACTCTGACGTTACAGTTGAACCGGTTTCACTAGTGCTTTACATCTGAGAGCCGCAAACACATACTTCTAATAATGATAGTGATCATAAATTTGGATGTCTATTTTTGGACCAAGTATAAAAGGGAGTAAGAAAAAGTAATTGTTGCATTTATGAACAGTGCTGAGCCAAAAACAAGTACAGTCAAAGTTTCCTTTTTGTGTTTTTTTGCAGCAGAGTCATGCAGAGTTTTGTCAACAGCATTCTGTAAGCAAGTCTATTTTTTATAAGATTGAACTAACTGAGTACTAAATACTTCACTATGACTAAAAGTGCTGCATTCAAAACTTGACTTAAAGCCACTACAAGGACCTTTCATTGTATTATTTTGGCGGCCCCGGTTGACAAAAGTGGTAGTGTTTCTGATCACCGAAAGAAACCTTCAGAAAACCTCTCATCTTACTGCAGCAGGGTCTGACAGCCTGCTCCTCTCAGTCCTGGTTCTGGTTCTCCCGTGCCTCCCTTCCCTCTAGCCAGTGCAGCAATATGTCCTGGGTCTCCAGCAGCGTGGTGTCGGCTCCCAGAGAGGAGAAGCTCTGCTCCTGGAGGAGGAGGAGGAGACGCTGCTACCGGTCTCTGCTGGAGGATCTGGGTCTGTCCACGGTGGACCGGTCTCTGCTGGAGGATCTGGGTCTGTCCACGGTGGACCGGTCTCTGCTGGAAGATCTGGGTCTGTCCACGGTGGACCGGTCTCTGCTGGAGTATGAGCTGAAGGAGGTTCTGGTGAACCTGCATGAGTTCATCTGAGGTCACCAGAATCTGACCCGGTGGCTCCGATGACGAGCATTAAGAATAACTCTATAGAAACAGACCATCTTCTCTCTGATGGTCTCTTTACTGATGGAGGTCTGATAGAGGATCAGGACTACACTGAGACTGGTTCAGAGCCATTTAAAAGTTCCTCACTGTAACTTTAAGTAAAATCAGTACTTAAACTAAGTATTAATTGATCAGTTGTTTTATTATTTTATCTGACGTTTCTGGATTTACATCACTGTCCTGTGAGAACCACGTGTCACTAAAAAACAAAGCTTTGTGACGATGCATTTTCCAGCTGATGCAAGAGGCTTTTTAAAGAGTTTATTCAGTTTGAGGGTAAATTTGTTCATCTGAAACCATTAAAGATATGAAACAATTCTGTATCAGTATTTTGTAAAAGTGTGTGATTGTGTGAAGCTTTAAGATTTGTATCATAAGAGAGAACTTTACAAACCAAGGACAGGACATTGACATGAATAAATAAAAATAAAAAGCAACGGGCCAAGAGTGGGTCCTTGCGGAACTCCTCGAAGAAGCTTGACCCTTTTTGGCATGTGACCATCAATAACTACAAATTGTTCTCACGTCGTGTTAGAAACAGCACTGGCTGAACTGCCTCATAGGTTCCTCTTCATTCAGTGTTTCCTGTACGCTTCACATAACAGTGGTCCTTTAAGTTACAGGATACAACTGTCTATCCAACAGACGGGACATCTCCATCCAGGACAGGTCCCACTGCACCTCGGTCACGTCCTGCTTGGTCGCAGGAAGCTCCACTGCTGGAAGGTTCTCTTTGGAAAATGGCCAACACCTACAGGTGCAAAACGTCTGGTACTTTCACACAAATACAATAATCAGTCATGCATTTCCTCAACCGTCTGTTGTGACGTGATCCATGCCAGGAAGTAGAGAGTGAGAGGGTGAAGTGGGCTGGAGGTTTCATAGATACTGACCGGTGGTGACGAAGCAGCCAAACAGTTAGAGGAATGAGGACCAGAGGTACGATTCCACATGAAACAATGATCCATTTCCAGGAGCCTGATGAAGAGAACAAATGATATTTGTTTTAGTCTCACCTGAACCAGGAACTACTTCACTCTTTCTTGGGATTAATAGGTGTTTATGTTATAGTAGAGATTAATAAATGTTTGTTTAACCCTTGTTAAAAGGTGCAATGTGTAAGATCTGGCTATAATTCTGGTTTAAAACATTCAAAAACAATAATCTAACATTATCAAAAGAATGTGACACGGTCACAGTGCTGACCTTATGTTGTAGAGTCTTTTTCTCGCCACTATGGAACTTTATATTTAATCCAATTCACAAACTTTCAAAACGTAAAGTTACTCGGATTGTACAGCCTCCGGTTAGTGGCCCAGTAAAATCACAGATGGCTACCGTAAACTAAAGGCTAGTAGTTGGCCTTTTTTTAATTACTGATGACTGTAAATTTAGATTGTAGTGAAGGTGAAATGCTGCCTGTTAATATATTGTAGCATGTGGCGAGGGATCATACATATTTAAAAAATGAATTACTAGAAAGTGGTACTCTTTGTTTTGAGGTAATAAATCAAGAGAGAAGTCATTTTCTCATAGACTTCTATACAACCAGAGGAGTCGCCCCCTGGTGTACACTAGAGAGAATGCAGGTTTAGGACACTTCTGCATTGACTTTACTTACCTTTACTTTTACTTTACAATCTTACCCGATAATCATTATCATCAAGTATTCTCTCTAAAACTAGTAAATTAATGTACAAACAAAACAAAGTCATGTTACCACTGGTGGAGGCTGCTGTCCCATCTGTTGATGTGAAGTTTAAGCCTAAAAGACAAGAATTGACATCTTTCACTGATCTGCCTATTTTACAAGAAGCACAATGGTGAATATTAATAAAGCCAGACAGCTGACCTGCATCAGGTCTCACTGACAACCAGCTCTCTGGACTCTCCATCTTTCCGTCCTGGGACGCACACTTGTAGAAGCCTTCATCTCGCCGTGTCACATTCTCAATAGTCATGTTTATTACTCCGTCTGAACTGGAGGAGCTGTAAGTGTCGACTTCTGCTCCATTTTTAAAGAAGGTTGTTCTACTGTGATTGCCTGTCCAGTACTGACAATACAAGACCACTTTGTCAAACTCGAATACGGGGGAGGCAGGAGTCTTCAAAATGATGGTCCCATCTGTGGGACAAAGACAGTAGACACTGTTAGCAGACAAACACCTTCACTACAACTCAACACTCATTATTTCGGTTGTTTGAAATGCAGTCACTCACACAACACATTTAAATCCTCAGAGGCAAATTGTGCAGCTTTTGCAGCTGTTAAACTTGCACAAATATTTAAAAAAAGATAAATATGCTGCCAAGCAAATAGCGTCTCGGTGCTCCTGTGCTTTTGTATTTAAATGTGGTAATATTCAGACATTTGGTGCAAAATTGGCCCCGTTTATTGCAAATGGTCGTTATGCTGTTGTGTCATGAAAAATAAATGAATAAAGCTCCCCTACGTGTCATTTTTGAAGATACACAAGAAAAAAAAGGAGAAAGAAATGAATAAACAAATGATTTCTTCACTCTCCCTCCACAAAAAAAGAACAAAATTGCTCTCAGCTGCAAAACGTTATGGCTGTGTGTTTGCGCTGTAGAATAGTTGGCACATTATCTTTTCGAGGATAAGGACCTTGACACGAGGAAGACAGCAGCTGAACGCGATCCGTCGCAGCTTCCTTGTATTCGCTTTCTAAAAGCCACTTTAGGCGCCTTGCAGAATTGTAGTCTTATAATTTTCAATGGCCAGAGTCACCACCAGGTGGCGATATGAACTTCCATCTTCACAGGAAACAACTTAGTTCGGTTTAGGCAACAAAACTACTTTATTAGGTTTAGGAGAAGATCGTAGTTTGGGTTAAAATAACTACGGAAGTGGCGTTACTTAAGTACAGATGTGTGACAAATAAATCAATATTTACTTCTCGTTTCACACAAAGCGTGTCTTTATGGTTCCTTTGCATCATTACGTGGATTTCACACAAACTGATTTTGTTGGATTTAGATGAAGAATTACAGCACATTGATTTTTGTAGGTATAGCTCAATTTGTTGAAAAACATAATTTATATTTAAAATGTATAACCATTTATAACTTTATATCAAAGTAACAAGTGAAAATCATAAGATTAACCTTTTTTTTTTTGAATATAGACTGATGCACTGAGACCAAGACGTTGAAGTGAAAGTGAAAAGTGCGATACGATGCCCCGCTCTCCTGTACTGTTGTGACTATTTACACAAAACAAAAAACAAAACTGTCTCCAACAGCATTCTTTGAGAATCTTCCCCTTTAGACTCACTGCTCACTGTGAGGTTGACGGCGTTGCTCCGGGCCTCGGGGCCCTCGCACCAGTACAGTCCACTGCTCCCGCCGATGGCGGTGAACGTGCATGCGTCCGACTTGTCTGCAGCGACAGCACCCCCTAATGGTGAACAGCGGTCAGTGACGAGGACTCCTCCTGACTTCCTCACTGCACGCTGCTCATCGCTCCACTGCCTCAGCATCCAGCCCGAGGGGCACCGCACAGTGAAACGCTCCCCTCTGTAGAGCTGCCTGCTGCTGGGAGTCAGAGTCAGGAGTGAGGGAGGAGGCAGCTCTGGATGAGACACGTGGACAGAGGGAGAAGAAGCAGACAGTGAGTTGTTTCAAACAGTATATGAGCTGACGAATGGTTCCAACTTGAAGTTCTACCCATTTGTTTGCTAAAGTCATAAACGTACCAGCAGTTTCTGTTTGTCCCGCTGCCTACTAACGGGTCACATGGGACCACAAATCTCTGTAAAATATATTACAATTATCACACAACAACAGCAGTAAATGTTTTTGTTATTGCAACACCTGTCTTTACTGCAGCAACGAGCAATAAGGAGAGATGAAAAGCACCCAGAGCTCTGTCACTAACTCAGCAGCAGCAGCACCGGAGAAGCAGAGATTGTCCGCATACTGTCAAATTCTGCTCAACATATTTCATTGCAAATTATGTAGTTTCACCTGGAACTCAATTTAATTTTCTGACACACACTACACCCAAAATTAATAGTAATTCATATGTTTTAAAATCAGGCAAAAATATCCTATTTAGACATATTTTTGGGGATGGCAATTTAAATCTGTCGCTCGGCTGTCAACTTTGGTCCAGACTGAAATATTTCGACAACTAATGGATGCATTGCCCTTATAGTTTCTACAGTCATTCATGGTCCCAAAACGGTGAGTCACGTCTATGGTTTTAAAGGGGACACATCATGCTCACTTTCAGGTTCACACTTTTATTTTGGTGTTTCTACCAGAACGTGTTTTCATGCTTTAAACAGATTATTTTTCTCATACTGTCTGCCTGAATATACCTGTATTAACCCCCCACCTGAAACGCCTTGTTTTAGCGCCTGTCTCTTTAAGACCCGCTCCAGAAAAGGTAAGCTTATGTTATGACAACGTGAACAAGCAACTTTGGTGAACTTTCAGGAGAATATCTCTTCGGGCGCATGTGTGACCCGTGCACTCTAAACTTTAATATTTTGCAGCCTCATTTGAAATTTAAATAATGAATACCAAACGCAACGCGGTAGACTCACGGACTGTGTGGGCGTCTTCATGCGCACTTTCTATTTTGATTCATGCATGTTTAGCAGTGCAACGTGCAAACATCTGCGTGAAGGTCAATGTTGATCAGCTGGTGTGGCGATTATTTAATACTCGACGATATGAAGGTAAACACAGTGAACGGCGGTTACGACTGTGCACTATAGAGGCTGCAGATTCATCAACATGTTGTGTCCTGCTGCCTCTGCATTTGAAGAACTGAAGCTTTTCATACAATATAAAGCAGCTGCAAGAATCAATCAATATTCATTCATAGATCAACACAAACTGATTAACCCACTTTATTGCTTTAATTATTTTTGATTCCAAGTAATACATAAAGTATTATTAATACTATTTAAAGGAGCAATAAGTAAAACTTTACTACACTTTCTGAGTAACTCAACGACTCCTGGATGAGTTGCCATGAAAATCTGGCACATTCGTGTTCCCGTCATTATGAATCTTAATAACTTTACAGATCACCTCAGTTTTCCATCTAGCGGCATCAATTGAAAGTCGATCCTGGCCGACACAAACCTGTGTGTTGTTGTGTGCATGAGGAGGTCGTAGCTGCTGCTCACCTGACACGCTGAGCACGGCCGGCTGGCTGAGGAGCTCCACAGAGCTGGTGTTGCTCTCCCACCGCTTGGCTTGGCACCAGTACCTGCCCGCGTCCTCCCCTGTCACCGCGGTGATGGAGTAGCTGTCACCCGAGACCCGGTGCCTGGGGTTCGGGGGCGAAGCGGACTGGTGCTTAAACCAGCGGTAGCTCCATGCCGACCCGAGGCTCGACTCCACCGAGCACCGCAGCAACACGCACTCACCGAGGTAGATGTTTGACCCCGGAGGCCACACGCTGATCTTCAGAGTCTCTGCGGGAAGACCAAGACTCCTTTGTGGGCTTTTATTTTTTTAATGCTTGTGTGACAAATATACTGCAAGTGTGTGTGTGTGTGTGTGTGTGTGTGTGTGTGTGTGTGTGTGTGTG